CTCAGTTGAAATAGTAGGAGAATAAACATACTAAGAGAAAATGTAAATGTCGGTTATTATTACTATAGCTCCATGACTAGAACAAATATCTAATACTCTTTGGAATGTTGATTCCCCCCACCATTTAAACAATTGCATAATTTGTTTGCAAGTTTACACTTTGTACTGTGCTAAATGCCACCAATTGAGTTGTAAAAAGCAAAGCAAAATTTCCCACTTCTATTATTACGTTCCATTTTACAATTATATTTATCTTTTGTACCCCAAATGAAGATTTCAGTAGTTTGTATGGCTTCTTACACTGTTGCATACCCTAAAGACAGTAAAGGAATATTTTGAAAGACTGATAGGAGAGCAAAATCAGTAATCTGTGTGTTCATTCAGTACTGATAGTGACAAAATCTAATGAGATTTTCTCAATTTTGGACAACAATCTTGGTAAAAATTACTATTTGTGTTTGAATTTGGCTAAATTGAATACTGAAGATGGTTCTACATATGAACAGAAATCTGCCTTACAGGTATCTACTGCTTGAATTAAAATTCTTCCCTTTAGCCATTCATCTGTTCTGTCTCAGAATAAAACTCTTGCAGAGTTTAGGTGTCCAGGATCTGATTTTGACTTACAGGAATAAGTAAAATGTGCACAATTAAAATTTCGTTTAGACTCCTAGTGGAAGGATAAATAGTAGGTGTATTTCTTCTGGGAAGCTTGATGCAAAGATGGGATGCGTTATTCAAACAAAGAACTCAGAACCCGTGGTTAAGATGGGCCTATGAGCATGCTGCCAACTAACCTCATATCCTTGATAAACTAGAGACTATTTTAGATTTACAAAAAAATAATTTCAATAAATTCAGAGGGTGTATAACCTTCTGAAAAAATCAAATTCCATATTCATTCATGAAGTCATAACCTTCTGTCCTAAATTGTCTTCATGGGTAAGAAGTGACTGATAAAGCTGAGGTTTAGATCCTGCATTGATGCTTGCTGTATCTCTAACCTAGGTAGATGTGTACTTCTAATTCTGGCTCTGCAGTGATTTGAGCAGATCATACACAGTTACGCACTGAGGTCTGATGCCAAGTGACCTGTAGGTTTCTCTGAATATGCGTCAGCATATTTTTGTGCCAGATCACAAATTGAGTAATCCAGTGCCTCTGCCATTCCTGTCACTTGATTTATATTTATTGTGACTGGCTTTTACACGCTATAAACAGCATCAGTGGAGTTGACTGTGCTTTTTATATAGAAGAAGGGTTGCTATAAAAATGCCTAGAAGATGATATGTGGCTAGGGAATGAATATCACTCAATCAGTGAAATTTAGCGAGTGGATGGACAGTATGTCATGCTGATAATGTCCATGTAAAAGATATATCAAGGGACGAGAAATTGAAAGATAAAAGAGTATTTTGAAAGGCAGAAGAGAATGAAGCTGAGGTTATACATTTACTGCAAATTGCAGGAGTTAAGAAGCCTTACTTTTCCTTCCCACGTTAGAACAGGCCACTGCCACATGCATCCTGCTGTGTTCTCAGTTTGTATTCCTGATGGGAGCATGCAGCTGGGGCTGGATTCACTTGCTTAAATGTCTGTGTTTATTACCACTTGGCATGCTGTAGGGCATTCAGCTGCTCGTGCAATAAGGTGTGAGTCTCACCCAGATTACTTTTTTTAATGTCAGCTGTGTGTGGATGTCTTGGGTATACCAGGGTGACTAAAATCACCAGTAGATGCCTATAATTACATACTTGAATTGAGCTTCTCGTTTCTCTTGCTTCCTCATTGATGTGTTATATTCATGTGTGTGCATTAGATTTAATTTCTTGTTGTATTGCAGACTTGTAGTAGTTTGAAATTATGATTCTTTGCTATACTTAAACTCTGATTAATCAGTTGTGCTATGGTGTATTTCTTGTTACAATAGAAAAAAAGCTAGCCTGCTGCATATTTGTTAAAAACTTTTTTTGAGATTCTTCAATTTCAACGGGAATAAGAAATATTGAATTTATATGGTTATTTAGTATTTATTTACTGCAGTCTAATTATAAGGGGCCATACAGATTTTCCTTTGTTTCCAGTCAAAAGGAAGGTATGTCCTTATCTGTTATACATATATGTAGGAAGTGCAGCTTTTTCAGCAGTGGTCTCCTCAGATTCCGATTTTGCAGGGGGTGTGTGTGTTCCTGTATGTGTAATTTTTTTCCCCTTAGATTTCAATTTTTATTCCTGTGCTGTATTGAAACATTCAATTCAGGCAAGTAACATTTCCATATCTGTTATTATCATGCAGTTATGACAATTAAAAATATATTGTTTCTCAAGAATTACAAATATCATACGTCATGAATCTTGAGATGATGATAATTGTCACTGCAACTAAACTGATGTCTAGTGTCCAAAAGCTACAACTTCAGGCAAAGTGTCAGTGATTTCTTTGAAAGAAAAATTGGAGGTTTTGTATGCCAATTCTTTTAACAGATAATTAATGAGGAGAGGGAAGGAAAGAAGGCTTTCTGACATTGTGCTTGTTTAAATATTTATGCTGCTTTAAACACATGAGTAATATGTGAGACTAACTCACATTTAAAATACATGTAGGCAGTGATCAGTTGTGATGTGTTGACCAGTTTTAGGGTTTGGTTGGTTGGTTGGTTAGTGGTGGGGTTTTTTAGTCAACACTGAGAAAACTAAGTTTTAACATTATACAAATAGGGTAAAAATTAACTATTTTAATATATTTGACTCGAACGTGTTCATGAGTGCTCTTCAGTTGGGAAAATGCAACATTACATAACAGATTATTTTTAAGTACAATCTGGACGCAAGCTTTTCTTTAAAGAAGAAAAAGGAAATCTCATTCACAGGTCTGGTATGTGGTATTTAAAATACAGGAGGCTATTAACTTGGATATCTTTAGCTATATAGTTGAGTCTTTCATAGATTAGCATGTAAGTATTGTAGAGACCTATAGGAAAATTTTCACATTCTAAAATTATACTTTATGATTCTGTGTTTTATTTCTTCTTAGTTTGCAATATATTACTTAACAGGATGAGGGTTAATTTTCAGTTTCAGTTTTAAACTTAGGGTAAGAATTTTATGTCCTTCACCTAGTGAGTCTGAGATATAGAAGAAAAATGAGTGCATCAGAAAAAAGGAAAGACAGAACTGTGAAATTTTATACACTATTCTTAATTCATCTTCTCAGCTTGCAGAGAGTATCAGCTGGCAGTGTCAAGATTTTTTGTTTTTTCTTCATTCCTGGTTACTGTCCAGCTTAACACTTTCCAAAGCCCATTTGCTTGTGTTTCTGCTGATTCAAAACGGTATTGTGGTACCTTTCTTGTGTGTTCTACAGATCTCCAGGATTACTCTCAGCTCTCTTTTTTCTGTAAGCATCATTGTTAAAGAAGCATTTCCTAAGAGTAGTACATGTGCTTTTTTTTTTTTTTTTTCTTTTCATTTTTAAGCTAGGAGGGTTTTGTGAGCCATTTGCTGCCCTGCACAGATAAGTACGTTGGATCTTTAGCTGCTCTTGGCTCAATGTCCCTTCTAGTTACTGAAGGGGAACATGGAGAAGAACGCTCTGGCAAGCAGCAGAGCGTGTCTTGTGAACTGCTGTGTGTTCACATGATGGTAGGTGCACTGATGTGAAACGGCCCCTATGTTTCTCATTTTATTTCAGATCGGAATCATCTGCTGATCTCAGGACAGGCAGATTACTGTGGTTGAGCAGCAAGCATTTGTCTGACTGCAGGGAAGACCTTCGCGTATATTGTAGCCATGGGCTCTGCTCTTCTTTCTTCAGTCTGTCTTCTTCATAGTATCTATGTTAAAGTTTAAAGTTTAAACTCTGTTGCATATTTCTTATACATTCAGAAAGTGAGGCAATGTGTACATGAGTAATTTCACTATTTTATTACCCCTATTAAAAATATTTTTACATGGCAAAGGATACATTCCTAAGTCCCTAATTTCTCTAAATGTCTCATAAGAGCAACTACATTCTTTCCTGGCTTTTGCATTTCTTTGTTACAATGATAATAATAAACATACCTTTAGAGATACAGAAGGCAAAAACATGCATGAGAAGGAAATTAAAACACGGTTAACAGCAGTAGCTGGCTTTTCAAAGGAGACTACTTAAAAAGGTATACAGTTTTGTAGAAAAGCCACTGTTCAGGATCTTTGCTGAAATGAAGTCAGGAGTTGAAAGAACTTTTCTTCCCTGTTTTGATGTTAAAATAAATGTTATCGACCTTTTTCAAAGATTTGTCTAGGGGGAAGGACAGGGAGGATTGTTTGTTTGTATTTAAAAAATCAAAATCTGTTTGAAAACTGAAAACAACTTTGACATAGAAGCTGTTAATTTCACTGGCAAAACTCAGCCTGAAATTTACTCTTGCCAGAAACCCCCTGGAAATACAGGCGGGTGTGTTCTGCTTGAGTAATCGCATGTAAATGCAGAGGTGCCAGCAGCACTGTAATAATGACTGTAGTGTCTTTGAAGGCACTCTGAAGCTTCCGTTCAAAGACACTCCTAAATAATTAAGTATTTTTTTACTTTTTCAATTTACATGCAATATGTAATGACATCCCCCAAGTACCAGATTTCCTTCCTTGTTTTTTCTTTCTCATGCAAAGAAAAAATAAGAGTATTTTAATTAAGACACTGCTTGCTAACCTATATAATACAGTAATGTGATGAAAGAGCAGGTCCAGATAGTTCTTTGTTGTAACACTCAGTAATGTTTTCTTAACACAGAAGTGACAACTTGGAAAACCTAGGTACCTCTGAGGTGGTCTTAGAAGTCTGGCTTCCCCTCTGCAAATAAAGGGAGGCAATTTTGTCCCCTTTGATATGCCTTCTGGCTTCTGGCAGTTCACTCTGTGACTCTTTATATGGTACTCCTTGTAAGACTGGCTGCTTGGCTAGCTGTACAGGGGTTTAACCTTTTACTTTTTTTTTTTTTTTTTTTTTTTTTTTTTGGTAGATACCGAGCGTCTCTATACAGTAGTTTTCGAAGAGATTTGTGGGCGTTTTGGAAAGACCTATACCTGGGATCTGAAATCCTTGGTCATGGGTAAAAAAGCCCTAGAAGGAGCACAGATTATTCGAGATGTTCTAGATCTTCCAATAACCAAAGAAGAGTTATTACAGGAAAGTAAAATGAAGCAGGAGAAGATATTCCATACTGCTGAATTGATGCCAGGTATGTTTCTCTTCAATATTTATGAACCATTTATGGAATTACTTAAGTGCTAACCAAGGTAGAAGTTTTTAATCTGCCTTCCACAAAGCAGTTTCTCTTACAGATTCAGTTTCATCAGTCTTGTTCTAGTAAGCTTTACTCAAATCTACCTGTTATTTACCTGTTAAAGAGATATTTTACCTGGTAAAAAGTACTGAGTTGTTGTTTTTTTTTTTCTGATTTACTTGGATAACAACTATTTTCTATATGTTTTCAAAGAAGAAATAATGTGCTTTTTGATAATGTGATTTTTATTTGGTAAACCAGACATTTTTTATAATTGTTGTTGGCAGCTGTGTAACTCAGCAAGTTAGTTTTCTGTGTCTCTGAGAGTAGTTCAACTTTGTTAAGCACAAATACACTTTTAAATGTGCAGGCAAATGTATGAGCCCATGGGTTCTTCCAGCTGGAATTAATCTTGCCTAATCTTATCAGTGAAATTTAAGCATGGCATCTGAGCCAGCTGTGTGCCAAAGGAGAGGGAGGGTTTCTCAGGTTGTTCTAAGACATGTCTTTTACCAGTGATTGTGCAGGAAACCCAAATGAGTAGGTTAAATCAGGTACTTCAAGATAAGCAAAAGGATGAGTCTTATCTGTAGTGTGAACTCAGACTTTTATATTCCATTACATTTACATCTGGAATGCTTAGAGAAAATTCCTCAGCCATGCAAGACAAGCAATACCTAAAGCTAGGATTGCTCTTAACTTTTTGTATAATGTTAAACTTACTGGAGAAAATATCAATAATTTATGAAGAGGAAAAAAAGAGGAGGAGAAGGGACAATTAAAAAAGTATTAAAAGTTAAATAACTACATGTCACTATAACAAGTGTAACCATTACAGATTTTTCACTTTGAATGTGGGCTTGTTTGTTCTGACAATCTCTACAGCCTATTAATGATGTGTTAATTTTTAGATACTTTTTTTATACCTAGAGTCATAATGCATTAAGAAGATGAGAGTTAAAGATGTGATATCTTAGGAATAAATAACAGGCAGCAAAACCAAAAAAGGCAGCTTAAAAACTTGAGTATTTTGTGCAGCCAACTTAGTTATGTCACTGATGTCTTTAACATGCAATATTTTTCAGATTGCATCTTTCTCACATACAGATCCACCTGAAACTGTAAGCCTGGTTAAATTCATCAGGAAAACAAGATAGATAGAGGAATGTGTTCTAATTTGTTCATGTCAAACTTTTGGGTCTACCTTTTGCAAGACAAACAAACAAACAAAACATAGTCTGGGCTTAGGAGACGCGAGATGGAGAGACTGGGTGCAATGTTAGGATGCACAGAGAATGTAATGGGACAGGTTGATGCCGTTAAGTGGATATTCTATGCCTGCTGAGGATTGTCATAATGTGGTTGAACTGGCTTGAACAGAGTTGCAGAGAGGCAATGGAACAGATTATATGAAGGAAACATAAAGTTTTGTCTGTTCCTGCCTTCAAAAAGTGGATTCTTGGCTTGCTGAAGCTGGGCTATCCTAGATGAAACAAACAAAATTCTTACCGGGACAAGCAAGTAAAGATTTTTAACATCACCAGAATTGTTCAACTGATTACCTTTTCCATTCAACTAAATGGAATCATAGAATTGCCCAGGCCGGAAGGGACCTCCAAAGGTCATCTAGTCCAACCTCCCCGCAGTCAGCAGGGACACCCCCAACTAGACCAGGTTGCCCAGGGCCTCGTCAAGCCTCACCTTGAATATCTCCAGGGAAGGGGCCTCAACCACCTCCCTGGGCAACCTGTTCCAGTGCTCCACCACCCTCACAGTAAAGAACTTTCTCCTAATCTCCAATCTAAATCTGCTCCCCTCCAGTTTAAATACATATGTTAACTTTCTTTAGGCTATTTTCTAAAGCAGAATTGATGTGAATGAACTTAAATACTTTATGCTCACTGGCCATTTTTGGGAGCAAAGGCAGCATTGGTCACTGAAGTAATGGGATCTGTACTTTATTTGGTAGCAGCATATGAGAGACAAGCTGAATTGACATGAATTTTGACAAAATGAGGTTAGTGTCAGCTAATAATCTAGAAAGAAGTGGCTCCAGCTATTTCTTTAAAGACTGACATTTTCTTCAATCTGATAACCAGATTTTTTAATCTGATACTTTTTTTTTCCTTCTGTCCTTTTGTGTCTTCTGAGGATATTTATTAATGTAATCCCTGTGGATTTATTCTACAGCCTTTTAATGTGTGTTAATTAAGAATGGACTTCATGAAGATCTTGTGTAAAATATAGGACTGTGGTGACATTTTGAATTTACAATGTTCTCTGACTACACTGATCTTTGAGATAGTAAGGTAAATACAGGAAAGCGAAATTTAATTGTCATATTGATTAATGGTGTAAGATGACTCTGATGTGCTGAGTCTCTGGTAATCTTTTGGCAGTTAATAGGCAGGTAATTTTTAATTTTTCAATCTATTTCTACAGGTTTTCCAAAAAACAAGGTTCAAATTTGGTTTGGTGGAGAGCAGAGCTGAATGATGACTAATGATTTTTGAAAAAGTGAATCGAGCAAAGCAGTACTTGTTTCTGGATATACAATGAGCTATGCACATGTTTGTGCCAACAATGATAACTCTTCTATTTCTCAAACCAAGTAATTGGCAGGTTTATCAGTGATGGTTAAGGATGGTGTGGAAGTTCTATGAATATACAATTGGCAAAGCAGTTCTTTCCCTGCCAGGCTATATCACAGCCATGCCACTTAATGTTCAACAATTCTGAAGCGTTAGTGGTTGTAGACAGAATTTTGACTGTTTCACTATGGCTGAACCAACAGACAAGCTTCAATACATCAGGCTGTGGTCAAAATGCAGATTTCATCTATGAAGAGGATATATCCATTTCTAAGGTGGAATTTTCTGATAACTGAGAATTTTTCAGAGTTAGATTTATTTTTAGTTCTGAAAGAATCATAGGGAATACTATTTTTTATTCAGTGGAGAAAAGAATTAATCCAAAGACAATGCTGACAAAATGACAGGGCTGCCAGTTGTGCTGCTTTTCTAAGTATTTCTGTCAGAGTACAGACATTGTTATCTGCACGAGTGACATAGTAGGCTTTCTGTTTCTGCAAATGCAGCACTACGTTGCAGGGAAGCAGATCATCAGAAGAATGGGGAGTGACAAGTGGAGCAGAAGAAAACCATGCATATGTACGTTTAACTATACAGGTATAGGTATGCTTTTGCATAACATTAACCCAGAATATACATAGAGCCAGAAAAACCTAACTCCAAGTTACACAGCTGTCAACAGTTGATATAATCATGTCAGGGTTATGAAATTAATGCCGTAGCAGCCTCTTATTTTGGCTCATCATCACCACAACGCACAGATCCTTAAGGGTTGTGTGGTTGCTCATGCCTTTTTCAGACATTTTCCATGATAACTGGGCTTTCTTTGTTGCAGCTCCTGTTCAGCCAGTGCAGAATGTGATGTACAAACTATTTTCCAGTTCAAGTATAGCTGACTGTCTCTTGCAGACATGAGGAGGTAATTTCACAGCTCAGTTTTAGTACCAAATGAAGCCAGTCAGAATCACAAGAAGAGAAGAAAGAAAAGCTGTTCAAGTTTGAATGGCAACTCACTGAAGTCATATATATTTTTTTCTTGAACAGTTCCATTCAACCAGCAGTCTAGTTGCTTAGCTATTGTTTCTTGATTCATGTTGTGCCCTTAACAGTTAAACAGACTTCCTACCATGTTGTCTTTTCTTTTCCTTGGTATTATTGTTTTAATGGTAGGAAACTCTAGTGAGTCCATGCTGGGCTCAGTCAGCTGCAAGCTTGGAATGATGCTGTCTCTTTGGCTGATTTCAAATATTTGGCCTTTGCATTACGTCCTAAAGGATTGCAACTCAAAAATGCTTTTGCCAGGAAGTCAACAATACAGTTGACAGAGGTTCTCTATTGTGTAAAATTCAGTACTTATATTTTTTCCATGGTCATGCATGTGTTGGTATATCCAGACTAAAATGAGATTATCGATTTTGTGAACAGGGAGTCTGCCACCAGAAGAATCTCTGGTACTTTTTAGAGAGCAATAAGATGAGAAGATAGAATTCTTTATTAATAGCCAATTACCTAACAACAACTAAAACAATATGTATTCTTGAAATTCCTTTCACAGCAATCACTAGCAAAAAAATTAACTCTTTCCTGGTTGAAACCAACACATCTTCCAAATTCGGAAGTAGGTTATTAGTTTACACCTCCACTATTGTAGCTCAGTGAAAGCATAATATATCATTATAGATAGTATTTTTAATATCTCAGAACAAAAAAGAACCAGGTGAATCTGAGAGTTACGTTTCTGTAGTCTCATCAGATTCATGGCAATTACACCAAGTGGGGGATAGCCCCACCTCTGTCATGCTGTCACCTTCACATCAGCAATGCTGACTTCACTTCAGGATTGAGAACAAGTGTAGATAATGAAAAGTACTGTGCTGATGGGCTTGCAACTGCTGTAGCACACCAAACTACATAAAAAATATTTTTTCATCAGTTTGTGACTTAAGCGAACAGACAGCTGCTTCTTTTTCTACATGAGATTATTGGGTTTTCTTTCTTTTCCCCTCTGCTCTCATGAGACCCCACCTTTTAGTTCAGAGACTGCTGAGGATTTTACCATAGAATCACTTTTATGAACGTAAAGAATTATCACTGAATTGGCTAGAAATCTAATCAACTTGACAAAGCTCTGAGTGGTAATGTTAGCTTTTCTTTGATTAAAGAGAGTGATAAAATCTTGAAGAGCTTTAAGTTTGGTCTGATATCACATTCAGTGTAGGAACTGTAAATGATTTTGAAAAAGAGGAGCTGTCTTTTCATACAGAGGCTATATTTATCCTTAAGATTTCCATTTGTGCACAACTGGATATAAATCATACAGGACATGCATAATGCATGTACACAGTTAATTTAAACAACGCGTAG